ATAAAGAACATATTAAATTTGATACTGTGCAAAAATTTGACTCTTTGTGCACAAAATTGAGTTCGAAAAACATTTTCGATGTTGACAATGTTTCTGAATTTGGCAAAAGTAACATGAGTGAGATTTCTATAGAGGATGAGATTGATTATTCGACATTTGTATGAAATAAGTCTAAACGAAATAAAAATTTGATATCTGAAAATTCAGTTGAAAATGTTCGTATTGTTGAAAATAAGGGGTCAGATATTTTAAAAGCTAAAGCCACAATATTTCCGAAAGTGCAAATCGTCCTTAATCAAGTTTTCGTAAAAACTGGACTGAAAAAAAATCACTCGTCATAACTAATGTCCTTAGTAGATGATGATAATGTAGATGGTTGTAATGAATTCTTTTGTTCAGGACCAATTGATAACTCTGATGAAACCAAAGGTATTTCCGAAATGATCTCACGGAAAACCAAAGGGAGATATATCGTAGAACCATTGAACCGTGTTAACCCTTGTAATGATAAAGCTGGTCCGAGTGGCACCAAAAATGTCCCAAGTGAAACATCTTCCAAAAAAACTGGCATACCTATTAGAAAAGAGAAACCTAGAGCTAACATTCATAAGTAAGTTGAGGAAATAATTGCTAAGAAACGTCAACTGAATGCTAGATATTAGAAAAACTTAAAAGAAAGAAAGCGATTATGAAAATCTAAAAATTCCAATTTTGTTAACCTAGTAAGATCCGCAAATCAAAATGCGAAATTCTCTTCAATTTCAAAACCTAATTCGTTTTCAAAGCCATAGTCTTCAACTCCACAGGTTTTAAAACCACAAGTTTTCTGAAACCATCATTTTCAAAACAAGCGAAACCTTTGGAAAAGACAAAACCTAATTTTTCTCCAAAAACAATTGTTTCTAAATTTGTCAACACATCGAAAGATGTTAAGGGCAAAGGAAAAGTTGTTTCAGAACCTGAATTTTCCTTCAAGGAATCCGAAGCAAATTTGAAAAAGGAGGAAAAGAAGTTTACGGAAAAGGTAGCCAGGCAACAAATAGAATTTAAACAAAGATAAAATCCTTTTAAAGAAAAGAATCGCAAAGATAATAGGATTGTTGTTTTAAAAATCACAAAAGGAGAGAATTCCACTTTGGTAAAGAGATCTTATTTGGTTGATGTAGCTATAACTATTCCCGTTTTTAAGGAAACCTCACGAGGAGAAAAAATACTTTAGGTTCCTAAATCTCCTTGAATTTTGTAGGTGATTTGTGATGAACAGTACGACTCATAATGGTATATTACAGTAGTTGTTTGCGTCACATAGCTGGAAGGAGAGAAGAACTGAAGGAATTCTAATTACTGAAGGATGGAGGCAGAGTGAAGTTTGGAAATAATGCCATGGGAGAGATCAAAGTCTATGTCATGATCATGAATGGTGAATTATCCATTCAAAAGGTAGCATATGTGGAAGGCCTTTAACATAACCTGATAAGTGTTTCTCAGCTGGTTGTAGGTACGGGGCTGAAAGTATCATTCGATGATGAAGGATTAGAAATCATTAAGAAGAAAACAAAGGAAGTGCTCATGAAATCCAAAAGAAAAGGCAAAATGTACCCATTGAATCTGAATCCGATCAAATGGAAGCCAACCATTTGCCTTCTTATGAAAGCATCTCCGGATGACATTTGGCTTTGGCACCGAAGGCACTCTCACTTGAATTTCATGGATATCAATAAATTGTACTTGGTGATCTTGTGTGGGGTTTACCTCTTCTGAAGTTTGAGAAGGAACATATATGCTGCATGCGAACTAGGAAAGCAAGGTTGCAAAAGTCGCTCAACTATTGTAAACACCAAAGTAATCAAGCCACTAGAACTTTTACACATTGATTTTTGTGGCCAATCCGCCATAGAGAGCATTGGTGGTAATAAGTACATTCTAGTGATAGTTGATGATTTTTCTAGATTTACTTAGGTTTATTTTCTTAGATAGAAATCAGATGCAACTTCGAGAATTAAGGACTTCATTAAGAAGATCGAGCTCAAATTGCGAAGCCCGTTCTGAACGTACACAGTGATAATGGTTTAGGATTCAAAAAAACGAAGTGTTTGAAGAATTCTTAACTGAAAGAGGAGTCTCTCACAACTTTTCTGCTCCTTACACTCCTTAGCAGAATGGTGTCATGGAAAGATGAAACCGATCTCTTTGCGAAGCTGCAAGGACTATGTTATCATTTGTGAACCTTCCATTATATTTATGGTCTGATGTTATCGGAATTGCCTGTTTCACTTATAATCTCTCTCTAATTAACAAGAGATTTCTTATCACTCCTTATGAGATTCTAAATAATCGAAAACCTAACATTAGGTTCTTTCATGTTTTTGGTTCCAGGTGCTTCGTATTTAATTCAAAATAACAACATAACTAATTCGATGTAAATGCTGATGAAGGAATCTTTCTGGGGTACCCTAAAGCATATAGGGTTCTAAACAAGAAATCCAAAAGGATAGAATAAACCTATTATGTCACGTTAGACGATAACTATCTCAGGAAGTATCAGAAGACTGATTGTCAAGCTGAGGAAATCTTTCCTTCAACAAATCTGATGATGATTTCTCTCTCAAATCTTTATGAGGAATTCATGAATTTGTTTGATGATCCGGGAAAGGCTATTTCCTCCGAATCTAATGCCCTAGATAATAAGGAAGATGCATTGAAGAAGACCATCGATGATGCTGCTAAAGATCTTGAAAATGAGTCACCTGTTCTGAAGGAATCTGAAATTCCGCCTTCACCACAAGCTACAAATGCACCTATTCAGGGGTTGGGTTCTACTTCAACCTCCACATCCAATTCACATATTCAAGGGAAGAATTCAAATCCCGAAGTTAACACTGACATTCCAATCCAAGGGGAGAATTTGATTCTGAACATTGAGTCACATGCAAATTTCCAGTGGGGAGAATGAGAATGAAAATAATGACTCAGACATTCAATCAAAATTTGAAGACATGAATGCATAATTGGACCCAACCTATGATCCGAATTGCCCTCCATTGGCTAAATGGACCAAATATCATCCGAAGTCTCAAGTTATCAGAGCAGCAACTTCTGGAGTTCTCACTAGAGCTAAAAAAGGGAATCAAGTTGCATTAAATGGAAATTTGCATGTTTAATTCATTCATCTCCAAAATTGAGCCTAAAACTGTGAAGATTGCTCTTGATCATTCTGATTGGGTGAAAGCTACACAGAAAGAGTTTAATGAGTTTGAATGTAACAAAGTATGAAGATTAATTCCAACTTCAAATGATGCATCTGTGGTCGGATTTAAATGGGTATTCCGAAATAAGCTTGACAAGGAAGGTAATGTGATTAGGAACAAAGCACAGTTGGTCATTAAAGGGTATTGTCAAGAGGAAGGTATAGACTACAAAGAAACATTCGCACCAGTTGCAAGGATGGAATCTATTCGTATTTTCCTTGCCTATGCATCGCACAAAAATTTTGAACTCTATCAAATGGACATCAAGTGTGCATTTCTGAATGGTGAATTAGAAGAAAGAGTCTACGTAGAACAGCCACCAGGTTTCGTGAATGAGAAATATCCAAATCGTATTAACATATCATGAAGGACAAGAGCTTAAAATCTAGATCTACCAAGGATGAACCAAAAAACTGAGAACCTTGAGGCTTACAAAAGTCCAGAAGATGCGCCAATAGATGGAGATGACTTTACTAGTTGATCCTTGGCTCAACAAAGACCTCTTTTAACCTTAAAGTGACCAAAACACCATCAAAGTGCTCGAAAGACAAAAGATGAGGCCATGTTTTCGAAAGGAATGATGGAGGCTGATGATGCCCTAATATTACAGTTAATGACTATAAATATAGGAAAACCCTAAAAATCATTGGTTTGGGCTGTAGCAGCCACCACGTCGTAGCCTCCATCTTGTCATTCTGTAGTGTTCATTAGGATACACATTCCATTCGAACATCATGCCAAGTTATGGTCATGCACCTACCACGTTGGGGGTGGTTTTCACCTGCTTCACTCCCCAACGACGGCACCAATCACAACCTACTCCTAATAGCCTAAACGATCCAGATGGTAGTTTAGATGACTACAACGAAACATTGTCTTTGCAAGTCATTTTCATATATTGGCTGCCTAATGTATGTTAACTTTTAAGTTGTCTAATATTCCTCAAAGTAGTAGAATCCATATGATACGTAAACAAATTAGTGCTACAAAGTCTCAATATCTGACCCATGTCTTAAAGGAACATCACCCGCCCACACATATTCCCAATAGCTTGTTGAAGAAAATTTTCCCACTTTCTTTGAAGAAAAAAACCAGATCAACTATAAAAGTGATGGATAATTGGATAGTAGATAACTAGATATAATAAGAACAAAGTTTCATATCGAACATAATTTAATCAAAAATGGAAATCTGTTAAAAAAAGGCAACAATAGTTTTATATTCTTATGTTTTATTTTTTTTCCCTAGTTTCACATGACATTTTAAGTTTTAAATACATTGTTCTTTTACTAAAAAACATTAAATTTTTGTTTGATTTTATAGATGCTACATAAATTGAAAACAATATGAAAACCAAATATTACATATAATGAAAACAAATATTTCAATAAATGATTTGTTAATACCAATATATTTCCTTTATATCCAATTTACAACACAAACTGAATTTACTTGTATATATATAACACTCTTGTGTGAATAAATCTAACTACCTTCGGAACAAAAGTGAGACTGCCACCAATTACGAAAGAGAAAGTTGTAAGTAATGCTTTTTAACTAATTAATTTAGTTTTATTTTTCTTATTTCATTTCTTAAACCTAGGGGTATATGGAATATTATATTCTACGTTTAATGTCTATTCAACTTTGTTTTAGAGCTAAAAAGAATTAACTTTGTTTTTAATTGTTTGGTTAGTAAGAATAATATGTATGTTTTAATTGTTTGTGTAACATTTTCAGTGAACATCAAACATGACGACTCCAGTTACATTAACTTTTCAAATTGTTCCGTTCCATAACTGTGAAAAAAGCATACGAAAAGTTAGAAAGACACTTTTTAAGGTTGATGATGTTACACTAGTATCATTGAATCCTAACAATGGTGAAGTCACCATCAGAAGTACTTCTCAATCTGTTGAAGAAATCAAATTGGCTCTTGAGCGTGCATTTCCAAGAAAACAAGTCTTTATATTACAAGAAATTTTCCATGAAGATGAACCATCTACTCTTCGTAGACAACAAAACCCTAATCAAAGTACGTTTGATCTTGGTAGTGTGGCTAGATCATTGCCAACTGCATATGATAATGTTGATGGGTTACAAAATGTGGAGAGTGACTATAGTAGGATCAACCAATCAAGTGCTTTTACTTCTGCATCTTCATTCAACAATACTCCTCCTACAGAACCATCACCACATATTCAACAATCAGGGAACTACTATAGTTGGATTTACAAAATTGAAGATCTAGATGACGATTAACCAAATACCAAGATTATAGCTAGTTATCCAATTAATATTATAGGAGGTGAATAAGTTGATATAATTTTATGTTGTTTAATATGAATAAGATACAACTTGCAATAAATAAATGAGACTGAGATAGAATATAATAGTATATACGATTTATATATGATGATTGAACTTTTTTTCTGTCTTTCTTCTACAACATAGTATTCTCGCGGGTTTGATCCATATTGACTGATTGACATTTATATTACGTTGATCAATATCGATTGTACGAGGTCCTAAACAATATTCGATTGTACGACACCTTTACCTAACAAAGTTTTCAGTATCACTAACATCAAATCCCACATATCTCTTATGCTTGATATTGATTGCCTCAACTATGATGTGTGACAAGAGCTCTTCTACTTTCACTATGTCGGGCTTGATGTTATAAACAACATAGACGATACCTAAAAGAATTGGCCCCAAAACCTACATATCCCAAATGAGGAATAGTCCGACACGAATGCTAAAATTTGAATCTATGCACCATTTTGAACATGTATAAGTTTTGAATATGATCATCAGTTTTGAATTGCTTCTTCATGTACATATAATATATGCAACTAATGGAATACATACCTATGTTTTATAGATTATTGTAATATAGAAAATATGCTAATACACAAAACTAACCAATACAACCTTAAATTCAAGGTTACGAACATGAAGAAAATGTTGGAAATTCATAAAAGTTTCTCATTTGTTCTTCTGCACAAAACCCTAATTTGAAGGTATAACAAGTTCGGTTAACTTTAAACAAATTAATACATAAATCAACCTCATCTTTTTTATTGTTAGTATCGTTAACTTAGATTTGTAAAAAATAAAAATAAAAAATTATTTGAATTTAAATAATACAAGAGTCAACCTTTTAAAATCCACAATTATAATTTACAATAAAAACAAGTATATAAGTACACCCTAAATTAAATCCTTGGTTGATTAGAGTTTTTTTAAAGAAAAAAAGAGATTATAGTATATTATTATTATATTTATTTCTGCAATATGTTCATTTATAACATGTTGGTATACAAGATCAAATTCAAATTTCAATATCGAGCAACTACCCACTAGTCTATAATATTGTTGTGCTAAATTTAACAAAAATCAGAGTGACACAGCACAATCATGGTGGACCCATAATCTCTATGTCTGAGACCAAATCCTAATAGGAGTAGATTCATTTTTTATTTATTTATTTATTTAAGTTTTAACCTTGTATACATCTACAACATGTTTCACATATTTTCCATTTCGCTTCATTAGTTGGTCTATTACCATATACCACTGACGAAAATTTCATTATCTGAAAGTCGAAAAATTAACTTGTTGGATATAATTACTTGAAAAAAATTAAATTTTAAATCATGATAAAAAGATATATATTATTATATTAATCTTCTAACGCACTCGATATATTAATTTAGAAAAAAAAAATATTTTAACCACTAAAACTGATAAATGTTAAATATAGTATAATTTGACCAACTTATTATTTAATGGGTATGAGTATAAAACTATAATATTTAGTAAAAGATTTTTTCATGTAAAAAGTAAAAGCTAAACGAAATACTCATATATAAGTTGCATACCGAGTGCACGTCAAATGTGCCGGTGCCAAGTAAATATGAACAAAATTTCACATTAATGGTATAATGTGTGTACAATAGTGTGCTTGTGGATTGTAGCATGCACAAATGCCAAAGTAAGAATGTAGCATAAATAAAACATTACTTCTTGAAATTTCATAACTTAGTATTTATTATTCTCGACTTAGTCCATAAAGTTTATAGATGTTTATTATACTTTGACTTAGTAAATAAATTAGTTGCACGTGAGTTCTATAATTAAGTAATTTGAGATTCTTGTTGCTATGTGTATTTCTCTATAATGTTTACCAAAAATTAATACACAAGATACAAGCGTTAATATGAATTTTAGGACGGAGACTGCCCAAGACTACGAGTAATCGCATCTTCATGCGAACGAACATAGAACCCGATACGACTCCCGTAATTAGATCGCTCTACATTCTAAGCCCCCCCCCCCTCGAGCTGCAAGAACTATCAAGTCAAACCTAACGAACTACTCAACAATGGAATTGAAAGACACAACTCCTCACCATGGAGAACTCCGGTCTTGTTCTTCAAGGAGGAAGACAAATTGCTTCGTAGGTCCATCGACTTCAGAGAGCTCGACAATATCTCCGGTAGGAACTATTACTATCTACCTCGCATAGAAGAATAGGCCGATCAACCGCAAGGAACGATATACCCTCCATAAATGGGCCTGAGATCCGAATATCACCAGTTGCGAGTGTTAGAGAAGGATGTCCAGAGGACAGTCTTCCAAACTCGATGCAGATGCCGTGAGACCGTAGTAATACCCCTCAGATAGGACCAATACGCCCGTGATGTCTCTCTCTGGGAAAGCTTAATACACTTCGGAAAGCGTGAAAAGCTAAAACCCAAGGTAGTTAGGACCCCCGAGATTCTTGCCAGAATCAACCTTGTAACTCACAAACTCAATCTACCCCGCGAGCTTAGTGATGTACATTCTACCCTCCACATCTCGAACTTACAAAAGTATCTATCCAACGAGACTCTTGTAATCCCACTCGATGAGATCGAGTTCCACAAGAGCCTCACCTTCGCGGAAGAACTGTAGTGACCATGGACCGAGTAGTCAAACGGACGAAGCAACGCCGCTTCCCATTGGTGAAGGTTCGCTGGAATGCCAACCAAGGACCTGGATTCACTTTGGAGCGCGAGAATCAATCAATTAAGAAGTATCCCCACTTCTTCTCTCAATTGTTCATACCTACTCCTTTAACTAAATTCTAATTTCGGGACGAAATTCCCTCTAACAGGGGATGATGTGACAACCCGAAATTTTCAACTGTAAAATTCCTTCAATCAAACACTTCAAATAATAGTCAAAAACATTTTCGTACATTTTTGGCCGGATTTATGCCCGTTTGGTAATTTATTTTATTTTTCGTCAAACGATTTAATAAAATAAAGTGTCGTTATTAGTAAGGTGTAATAAATCGAGCAACCAACATATTGTCTAGGAGTTTACGGCCAAGCAATTGGTGTTTGGGCCATAAACACCTCTTCCACAAGGACTCGTGCACATAGCATGAGTTTACACCATTTTTACTCACTTCTCACTTTCCACCTCAAAAACACAAGACTTTTCTCTCAGGTATCATAAGTCCATTCTTCCAAATCCGTCAAAAGTGTAAGTTTTCTTGCCTAGATTCTTTCCTACAACACTTAATCTAGTGCTTATACATCTTTTCATCCATGAATTCTTGATTTTTGCATAGATCTTCAAGCATTATTCAAAACACCCAGAACACCAAGAAGACACACTAGTGTTCTTAGGTCCTAAACACTCTTACAAGCTTCCTAGAAGTAAGTATACTCTTCCTATCTAGTTGTTTACTTAGTGTGCTTAGAAGACCATGGATTAAACACTAAAATCATCGAAGAACAAGTTTTCACGGTTTAGGGGATCTCCCAAACCCGTAAACACCCCAAAAGGGTGTTTTGATGCCCCAAACTCCCTTTCTAGCATGACTTATGGACTAGGAACTTGCATGAACGAACTAGGAACCACGAAACACGAAAAGGTTGAAGCATACTTGGGTTTATGGCCCTAAACCTTAGTGTTTACGACCGTAAACTACTCAAGGTTGGTCCATAAACCGTAAACACCAAAAAGTATGCCATTTCGATCCCTCACCACTTCCTAAGCCCTTAAATCAACCCTAGGACACTTCCTTGTGAAACATGAGACTTTAAAATACACAAACACACCATCCCCATGAGTTTACGGCCGTAAAATCATGGGGGAAATGGTCCTCCAGTCGTAAAGACCCTTAGGGGTGACCAATTGAAGTGTAAACTCCATAGTGAAACCATACACTCCTTAGATGCAACCCTTAGCACTTATAACACTTGAATCAAGGTGTTTTCATGCATTAGAGGGTCTTTATTTACTTAATTGGTGATTAAATGACTACTTAGACACCATTATGTGTCACTATAGGTTTCATAGGGTCCGTGTGTGTGTTCAAGTCCTCACTTGACACCTAGCATCCTACCCGACATTTCCATCCAATCCACTCGCTACAGGTGAGTTCATACCCCTTAATTAACCTTTTAAATGTTTATAAATGCTTTTATGGGGGAAATACAAGTTGAATCATGCTAGTTATCATATCAATCATACGTGATTAATAACCTGCATCCAAAAGGATTTATTACACTTTCATCTGTTTTACCAAATATATTACTTCATATGGTTTTTTTAAACGATTTTACTTGTTTAGATCTTTTTCTCAAACTGTCTTCCGTGCTGTATGTTTTCCTTCAAAACTGGTTACAGCAGTGTTTCAAACAAAGGTTTTTCACTTAAACTGTCTTACCAAATCATTTTATAAACTGACATCAAGTCATCTTTTCTTAGTTCTTAAACTTTTCAAAGGTTTTACAAAAACTTCTTTTATATTTTTATGTTGTTATATGCACGACTATATATGTATAGTTATATAAGTAATGTTTAAAGGACTAAGGAAGGCTATCCCGCTGAAATTCCTTTTCCTCGTTGGGATGTGGTTTAAGGTTTCGGTTATCCGTTAGAAAAGTCGTTTAACTATTAGTTATATATCATGTATACATATATAGTCATAAGAGTCCCCTTAGTCAGTTTAATACCTTTGGGTAGCAAAGGTATACTTCCGATTATACTCGTACATTACTAGTAACTATAATAGGTATAATTAGGAGATACTACTTGCCATTCCTAGTACAAGGAATCACACTAGAGTCAGTTCATTCATCAGTCTTTACGAATACATGTTGTTTGTAGATATACTATTACATGGATACCTTTACCTAGACACGATTACCTATATGTTGTATATAGAAATACTATTATGCTTTTTGTAGAGATACTAT